TGGCCCAGTTCATATATAAATTCCAGTTACTATTTTTTTCTAACCCAGACCTTCCCTCACCCTATTTCTATATTAAAAGATAACTGTTTTCCCACTGTAAAGTGCAACATCCAGATAAGAATTTAATAATTCATAGAACCATTCGGGGACTTCCAATGTGATACATGGACAATATTTACCTGTAGCAAATATAAAAACACAAATAATAGCACTATCTAAAATTCTTAGGAAGACTCTCTCCACAGAAAGCATATTTTGTATAAACCAGACTCAACAAAACATATTGTAATTCCTCACAATTTATCCAGTGGTATTTTTTATAATATAAGCTATTTCTTAATAAATCCACCACTTAATTCTCACTGTCTCTCCCTGAAGCTCTGGGCACATAGGCTAGTGTTTCCTCCTGGGTCCTATTTAATCACTCTGCTTATGAATCATGTCTTATGATCAGTTTTTATTTACTAACACCCAGAGATGTGTGACTCATGTCACTATTGATAATACCAAGCTATTGGAAGAGGAACCAAAACTATGAGCTGGGTCAGGAAAAACTGGCTCAGTCACTACCTCATTTTTTATTTGCCTTGTGTAAAAAATAAATACCATGGCCTCCAGAATGATCATTCAGAATGTTTATTTAACATTGTGCTCTTTTAGAATTCTCTGTCAATTATTTTCTTGTAAATGGAATGAATTCTAAAATGTGTGTTGTAAAGTGAATACATGTAACAAATAGATATATGTACACTACAGCAAAAAATATATAGGCCGTGAAACTTGGAAAATGAACAGATAATGTAATCATCATCTGAGTTATTATAACTAGAGGTCAAAGATATGGAAGACTAGATTTGGAGTGAGTGAAATCTATCAAGATAAATCATACGTTTCATGCTATTTAAGAGCAAGTTTATCCTGTCTTCTATATTAGCATTATCCTAGCACTTGTTGAAATATAAACTCATACCATTTTCAAGGTTTTTCTCTTTAGGACCTGTTTCCTTCCAATACTCTCACTTTGTATCAGTCTGCAAAAACATTAATAATATAAATAGTTTTTAGGTGATAAGGTACATTCAGAGATATTGTTGTTCCACTTGATTATCTCAAAAACCCAGTAAAATATACAGGCAAAATACCATTACTACCCCTATTTTCAAACAGAGGAAACTGAGATGCAGACAATTAATTATCATTATTGTAAGTGGGAAGTACTAGAGCTGGAGTAGAGGCCTCTGATTTCAAATCCTGAGCTCTCTGAACTATGATAAATCTGTATTTAATTGGTTATAATACCCAATACAGATACACTAATTAACACTCTATTGCAAGTTCTATCTGCATAAGTATATATTCCATGTTTAAATCTATATGTATAATGTTAACATATTTTAGGAATGTTCTTCTGCCATATCCATGCCTTTATTTAACTGTCTCTTCACCAACTATTCTAGGAGAACATATTATGCTTAAGCAGCCATTTTCCTTGATTTCTGCAATAGCATTCATCCTTATTGAGACTTCAAACACCTACCCTGTCTGCCAAGCTCCCATGATTGAATTTCTGGGGCTTTCCATGTACATTGGTATTTCTTTCTCAACATAGGTCTTGGCTTATTTGTTTTTTTTTTCTCTGAGCTCCATTATCAAGAAGCTTATTTTTGCCTTCCCTGTAACCTCATTAGTGCAGGATGGTGAAAGATAAGGAGAGAACAGATATCAACAAAGGGAAGTAGATGAATCCACCAGGACTCTTCTCCCTTCATTCTCTCCTTCCTTGGTTTCTGTCCTGAGGACCGCAGTATTTTTCAAGGAAACCCTTGGGGGAGAATATTAAAATTTTGCATTAATCTCACCAATGTTACCCTATTGAGCTGGGATAAAGTTAGCTATAATGCATAACTAATCATGAACTTTTAAATATTTGCCTGAGATAGCCAAATTCAACTCGAATCTTGACCGAAAATTTTTACAAAGCAGTACAGCATCTTGCCATCTTAATCTTTGCTACATTTTTACTTATTAATGTAATTTACCTTGTAACTAGAAAATGCATTAAAAGATTTATGTATTGCCTCAACAAGAGTAATTATCTCATCATTTTATCTACCAGACTTGCCCTAAGCCAGTATATTTTCTTAATATTAGTGTGGAGTGAGATATTCAGTTAGAAGAGAAAGGGATTCAATATTATCCCATTGAGGTACAAGGCAGTAGGAAATCAACTAGAAAATATTCCACACCTCATGTTACCCTTATACCTTGTCTCCTTCTCTCTCTCTCTCTGCCTCTCTCTCTCTCTCTCTCTCTGTCTTTTCTCCTCTTTAATCCTAATGATCCCTTCCTTTCCAGCTCTAGTTAAGAACATGTCTAGTTAAGAAATAGTAATGGAGAATGAAGGGGAGAGGAAAAGGGCAAATCTCTGGACCTTTTTTTTTTTTTTTCTGAACATATTTTTATATAATTTAACTCAAACTCTGTATATGATAAACTTTCTCCTCCTCCTTGAGAAGAAACAATAGGTTTGTGTTTTCAAATGCCATCTTAAAAGTGAAGAATATGAGAAAAATGCCTGCCTTTCTCCCATACAGCTTAGATCATGAACTGTGAAAAGAATTTCTGAATTATTCTAGTAGGCTACCTCCAGGGAACCTCCTGGATTTCCCTGCTAGTGGTCAGGCAGCAGTGCAGAGGTGTTATATTACATATACCTAGTGCCTCTTATATTGAAAGATTATAAACTCATTTATATATTAATTATCTTAATTCACTCACTATTGAACATTTGCCATTACTGACGTTATTCAAGACCACGAAAGAATAATCTGCAATATCTTATTCCTAGTTTTTGAAGACCTCTAAAATATTCACTGAATTCCAGAGTGTAGAGAGATAAATGGGCTGTTCCTATTATATTGGTGGGACTGAATACCCTGCTCTGACAGTGTATATGCTCTTCTTTTCACTAAGGCCCCTGAGGTGCAGTAGGCATTGGCTGCTTCCGGTAGCATCTCCAGTGTGATCTCTTAGCTGACTTCACTAACAAAATTGCACAAGTAGGAACATTCCATTTTCAGGTAACTCTCTCTATTCTGCCTTTGTATAAAAACATCATATTGTGCATTTTCAGCTGGTTCCACTAAATTCAAAGGTAAAGGAAATCCTGTGGGAGTTTTCAGTCTAGTATACATATAGATACTAGCAGTTTTACTCTCACACCATATGACACCACTCATAACATCAGTTGCAATTATTTCTTTGATTAAAAGTGACATAATAAAGACAAACTCAATAGCAGTATTATGCATAACATTTACTTGTATCGGAGAACTTTGGTATTCTTTGATCAAATTATTAACTCTCTTATGAAATATTAAAATGTGACCTGTTGGAAAACACACTGATATTGAACCATGAAAACACAAGTACCCCAATAAGGTATAAAAGGTTAATACTAGATGTAACAGAATTGTAGCTTACAAAAACTGGTAGCTTGTCCATTCATCTACGTAAGAAAAACAATCAATTTATATTTTTTTGCATCTTTATTTGTCCATATTCCATCACATCAAATTTGTACATCTTGACATCTTCGATGATAACCTTCTTAAGAATAGGCATTTTGATACATACCATGATACATCTTCCCAAGTTAAAAGATTAGTGTTAATTCTGGCCACTATATTTTAAACACTTTGCCCAATTTAGTATCAATGTGTTTCTTGAATTTATATTATCTACTGGATAGTATTATAGGAAATGTATTTAAACTAAGAAAATATCCATAGTTTTAACTACTCTAAAAATGAAAAATTTCTATAATATTTAGTGAAAATTGTCCAGTAAAAAGACAAAAAGACCAACCATGTCACATAAAATCGAGGACTCCCTTTTTGTTTCTCCTGACAAATATTCTACCTGTACTTAGAAAATGCAAGCTTCTGTTCCTTCTACAGTGGGGGTCAATTTAAAAGCTTACACAGTTGAAAAATGATTCTTATGTAATCCTGAGTATTACATCTGCTCTCTGTCTCAATGTCTCAATGGCTGGTGATAATAAATACTTATTTGCTGACAATTTATTCTGAATTTATTTTAAGTCAGCAAAGTCACTTTCTCTGAGCATGGTTTTGTTTATTGTTTGTTTACAGGAGGAGTTATCAAACATATTCATGACTGGCTTGTATTGGTCTTGATGCAAAATCTATCTTTTAATCATTTATTTATGAGTATAATGTTGCTTTACAAGACAACTGTAGAATGAAATATTTAAACATTCGCTGTTAGACAGATCTTCATTAAGGCAATATAAATTAACACTACAAATGCTAGTGAATACTAATACTTTAATCAATATTAGCCATTTTACAAGCATTGTCATAAACTATTTTGCTTTGCCACACATGAAAAAATTCTAATAATCAATTGCACTGGAAAACTAATTTATATTAGTTGTTAATCATTTTAATTACATGATGATGACAGTTATTATGGATAGGGCATCATTTTTCTCCTCAGGAATTTTCTTTCCTCCTCCTCTTACCTCCATTATGCAAACAAAACAAAACAAAACAAAAACAAAAAGAACAAATTGCACCCTTATTTCTATAGCCCTTCCCCAGCATCCTTGTTTCTCATATGCATAAACTGATATTTAAATACCTACTGTTAACTTGGTGGATTCAGCCTCTTAAGGCTATTTACAACCTGCTTCCTCCCTTCCTGTGTTCCCTCTGCCAGTGAGTGAACTCCTCATTAATAAAACCCAGTATTTACAGACAAAAATAACATCTCTAAGTTGACATGTGATTTTGCACTGTTTTCAGATGAGGTGAGTATGACATATTAATCAGAGGTACTTAGAATTTTAGGTCAGTTTTGCAATAAATTTTTCAGGTGCATTTTAAAGGTCTTTGAAGACCATAAGCCTATGTTAAACGACTTTCTTTTTCTTTTTCTTTTTCTTTTAAACAAAAGGATCTGGAAAGGTAACCTACCTTTATGTGACAGGCGTAACCGGGGGTGCGTAGTATCAGCTGTATGACCTCCTGTCCAAAGCTCCAGTAAGTAACCCCACAGGAGCAAGGTGATAATGTACCCGGCGGATGCCATGCTGCCGTGTTCACCGTCCAAGCCCTCGCTCCTCACTTTAAGGAGGGTCTGAGTTTTACTTAGGACTTCCCTCCAGGGGCAGCGTGCGAGAGGCTTTGTCAGAAATCGAACGCGTTGTCATCAGAAAGCACAGTTCCGAAGTGCCATTTGTCAGGCTGTATTTGGCTATGTAAAACCTTTCTTTCCTCAGGACAGTTGTTTATAAGCCGGGAGCAAGAGGACATTCCAAAGAGTGAGTCTTCAGAGCCATGTCCTGTCTAGAGCTTTATTCAGCAACTACGCCGGTAGATTCAGGAAGAAGCTGTATTTTTCAGTCACTTAGGCAAAGCTGTTCATTCAGAAAAAAAAAAAAAAAAAAAAACCCGAGCACACGCACACGCACACGCACTCCCTTCTCCCGTGGAGGTCCTCTCTTCGGGCTCCTGGAAGCCTCTCAGAAGTCAGCCTCTTGCACTGACTTGCCAAACTGCTAGTTTTAATTCACCTTTCACCTTGCTAATTAAAAACAAGAAGTGCCATTCCCTCTAGGAGTCGCAGGATCCACCCAGCAGGGATGCAGTCTGTCAGTGGCTGTTTACAGGAAAGTTCAGGCAGGGTTGAGCAGCGTACTTGCTGTTTCTAGGAAGTATTTCTGGTCCACGTGCCCCGCTCCCATCCTCCCTCCCAGTCATAACCAGCCCCACGTTACTCAGCAGCAAGACAGAACTCCACATTTTGACGGGGCAAATGGGGAGTTCGGGAGGGGTGATGACACACAAGAGGCTGATTATTAAAGAACAGGTGACAGACAAGGCATCAGAAAGCACTTTTAAATTCTTACCAAGATAAATTGACCTAAGTTGAATAAATCCAGCTTCTTTTTAAAATAATCTATTTGTAACCATCCAAGATCCAAATTCTGTTTTTCACTGTTGCCATATAGGTATTTTCAAAATTCAGTCTTTTTGTATTGCTTATATCTTAGGGATGCTATTTTTAAAGTCTTTGAAGAAAAATGTGTTCCAAGAGCCTGAAAAAAAAAATTTCATCTGTGATTGTCTCATAAATTTGTTAGAAATAATAAATTATTTACTTAAGCAAATTCATCAAATGAAATTAAAAGCAAATCCTTTTTCCTAAAGCAATTCCTAAATTTTACTTCAAATTTAAGAATGTTGAAGTAATTTCCCCCAGGTAAGGTAACTGGTAAAGTCGAGGTTCACCACCCAAGGGATTTCTGTAAAGCAGGTATTAGAAAACTTAGAATGTGAAATACCTTAGGATTCAACTGCTATGCATTTCCAGAGTTGATTTTTCAAGACACTGTGTTTGTGTAAATAAGCTTAACACAATAGGTCAACTTTACAATCTACCTTCAATCAATCTCAAAAAACGAAGCCAAACACTCTGGAGCTGTTGGCATGGAAATGAATGGCATTATGTTAAGATACCAATAAACTTGAATAGATATTTGATTTGACAGTGGAGAGTTAAATGGTAAACACTGATCTCAACTATGATAACTTCTTCTTATTCTGTATTTTAAATGCTAATAGTTAGGAACACTTTTTGAGAATTATGTTTTAAAATCATGAAACTGCAACAAAAAGATAACATAAGTCACCTTGATATTTTTGCATTATATAGAAACAAATGTACAGCCAGGCATTCTCTACCCATTTTTCTCATCATGAGATGTTCTTGTATAAGCAGAGTATATTTAGCAAAATGTAAATGTCACTGGATATTATAAATAATTAGATTTCCAAGGTCTACAAAAGATAGCAAACTCTAAACATTATTTAACAGTAAAACAACATGAAGTATTTAGAGACTTTTAACCTGGAGTGCTTGCATATTTTAAAAGCCAGTCTGATGAGCTGTAGACCTAAAGGTTGCTCTAAATGTGATACATCGTACCTTCAAAATTCTCTTTTGCTTTCTTCTAGGATGGAAGCAAATGACAAAATAAATAGCAGCTCTTATACGTGTTATATAATAGTGGGATTATAGGAAAAGTAAATGTGGTGCCTATACCTTTTATTGCAAATTCATGGCTACTCTCACATAACTGAAATTCTACTTAAGATTGCACAGTGCCTGTCCTAACTCTACTATAGAGTTGAGACAATGTGAGACATTACAATCATTTCATTAGTACACAAAATATGCATCTCTAAAATGTTGACAAGAGAATAAATGTTATGAATGCCAAGATTTGTCTTCGGTTTTATGTGTCATCCTTCAGATTAAGTTAGAGCAATTTAGAAGTAAATGCCAGAATAATGGGTTTTTTAGATTCCTCAAAATGTGCTTTGGCTTATCTACCAGTTGCCAATGTCCTTACTTATTTCTTTTAACTCCTCTTTATGTCCTTTTACTTTTATCTTTATCCTATAGAAAATATATAGATGATGCCAAAAAATGACTGTTAGGAAAACTAAACATTCAGAACTATCTATAGCCTCAGATTCCCCCATGTGGCATTAGCAGTGGAATAAAGAGTCTTTGGGACAAAATTAGTCACCTACATCATAAAATAAAACAAGAATAATCCTCAGAAGCAGAATCATCAAATAATTTATCATCTAAACAAGACTTTTTTTTGAGAATAAAAGAGGCTGTTTTAATAATTACATACAAATCAATAATACTATAGACAAATGACAACATCAAAATCTGAACCCTTGGGACCCTTTTCTAGATACTCTTGGGAAATAAGGAAATAGAAAATTAACAACAACAACAACTGACTTACCACCAACAGTGAGGGAAGAGCTTTAGTGGACTGAAAAACATTGGAGTTACCAACAATATTGGGTGATGTTACTGTATTTTATTTGAGAGGATCCAGGCTAGCAGTTTGAACAATATCAGACAAGGAAAACCAGGTGAGACGATAAATGCCAGTTAGGAAGGTACTGCTTGCCAGATCAAGGGTTTTATTCCAAAATTTCTCATTCTTGCTAGTCTTACATCATTGTATGAAGAGCAATCTCAGTCTGGTAGAAGAAGGAGAAAAGTAAGAACAGAAAATTGGGTGCTCATCAGGAATTCCAGTCTCCCCCATGATGGGTTCCATCACTGGTTCTCCAATTTCAACAGCAGAAAATCAACTAGCTTCTAGAACAAGCCTTCCCAGGAGGCAATCCCATACCATCTGCTGCTGAATCAACCTCAGGTCCTTGTTAAAGAACAGCTTGCTATGCCCCACCTCATGTTCCCAGTTTGCCTGAAATTTCATATGCTAAAATTTGTGTTTGACAGACGTTCCTTTAGGGCAGTGTTACCAACACTTTAGACATCTGTTTACCACATTCACCATTTTTGATATAATATGTAGTATTTGCAATTAAACTTAATTTAATATAAAATGGAACCATTACCTCATAGACTTGATGTCCTACTTGTATTTTTCAAATATATGCAAAAACCAAACAGTAGTAAAAGTTTATTTCTGCGTCACTTAAAATTATCTTGCATACTGTGGGAGACAGTACTCATCAATATTCCTTCAATATCGTATCATCAATATTCATTCCTGGGCATATGGGAGACTATACTTTCCAGCTCCTTGGCAGTCATGTGAATTCACTTGACTAATTCTAGCCAAAGAAATATGAGCAGAAGTGATATGTATCACATCTGGGCTGAGGCAGTGAAATACTCCTAAGAAATCATTTGGTCTTTCTGAAGCCCTTTCTGTAGCAAAAGAGGATAACTTACATTGAAATGGTGGCATGATGAAATTGAATCATCTTAGATTACTAAATCACCACTGGAGACAGCTACTCTAGAAAGTTATTCAGACCCACAAGAGACTTTGTATGAATGGGAGGAAACATGTTATGTTAAGCTGCTTAGTTTATTTGTTACCACAGCAGAGCGTAGCCTCTCCTGACTAAATGCACACACTGTACCTACTGTGCTTTAGGGAACGTGCTTTTGGACAAACTTACAGCATTAACAAGTTGCTGACAGTATATTACAGTGTATTCCATTCTATGTGCCACTAAAACTTACTTCAGCAGCATACAGACAGGGAGAGATGTGGATACTTGAGAGCCAAGTAAGAAGTAAAGTAATTCCCTGTGCCACTTGTAGAATGGGGTGGAATATGCCTTTAGCTTTTGCAGTTGAACATTTACACAAAAATGATGACATATATATTATTTATAGGTGGACTACATCACATAGTACTACATCTGAAGAACATTATGATTAAAAACAGTAAAAAACAAAGTATCAAAATGGCAATGATAATTATCCTTTTTATAACTAAAGACAGAAATACATAAATTTTATAAATCTATAAGGGCTTAAGATACTTAGATAACATAACTTCTCTGTGGTAGTTATGGCATTTCAGCTTCACTAATCCCTCTGCTATTCCTGCTAGCCCTGCTATCCCAATGACCTCCAGTCTGGAGCACCTCAAATGTCCCACCAATAAGACCTGCTGTTGCTGCTGCTGCCACCATTGCTGCTTCTGGGTTTTACAGGTCAGGACTGCTGATGCTTGTATTGGTCATTCTATTCATACGCCTTATATCACAGAATTTGTAAAGGATCTAGAGTCTAGATTGACTGTTTCGCACATTCAGTGATTCAGGCAGATAAGGACAGATAACTACATCACTCCTGATTTGTGTGCTCCTAAGGGTAGTCCCAGAGAATGGCATTCCATCAATTAGTACCATATAAGATCCAATCATTCACCTGCCTGAAACAGGTTTGGCTAATGTTATTTTGATGTTATCATTTGGATGGCTGACAATCCAATAAGTTGGTCTTGTATTTTTCCATTTTGACCAGCTATTCTAAAAAGCAAAAAAGACTCATAAAATTTTAATGAAATTGCTCTCGTAAGATTTTAAAATCTTTGTTTCTGACTTATACTAGGTTTATTCTCATTTTCTTTTAGGTCTTTAATAATAAAGAAAAGCAGAAGAAGCATTTGGAGCCATGTATAAGCTTTAATGAACTTTAATCAAAGAGCAGTCGTGATTTTCCTGCCTTTTTATGGCAAAATGAAAAGATTAATTCTGAAAATTCTATAATATACAGGCCCTGGGAGGTTTACCTATACTCTTCCTTATAGGTTATAGATAATTCCTTAAAGAGACAGAACTCCAATCAGTTGCTTTAAAAAATTTAACATTCTACTTAAAAAAGAAAAAAATCTAACATTCTAAAAAAAACTTCTATAATATGTTATAATGGATGAGTTTCTATGTCTTTTGTTATACATATTTGTGAGTTATTGGTGGCACCAGCAGTGAATTGGTTATATTATGTTATTATTACTCTCAACATCTAGCACTATATTCCAAACTGATTCCACTTTAAAAGGAATAAAAATGATTACTGTTAACTTTTTATTCTCTATATGCTAGGCAGCATGCAAGGCATATTCATATAAAATCCAGTTAAACCCAGAAAATCACTTGATGTGATAGGTACCATTTTTATAGTCATTTACACAAAACAGAATGTAGGACACAGATGTCGGTAACTTAGTTAGTTGGTTAACTGCTTAGTTAATAACTTGCCTGAAGAGAAACACCAGTAAGCAGCATAATTGCCTTTAAACCCAGACACCAGGGTCCATGTTCCAACCATTCCAACTTTTTTTTTTAGAGAATATGATTT